CACTCACCAGTCAGCATGAACTGATAGGCATTGTCAGAGATGGAGAAGATGTGTGGAGGGGCCTCCTGGCGCTTCTTGCCTCGGTAGGCCAACACCACCTCCGGGTTGTACACCGGCAGCCACTTGTAGGGGTTGACAGTGACGCAGAAGAGACCCGAGTAGGTCTGCGAGGAAGGGAGGCAGCACGTTGGCTTCCACGTAGCCTGGCAGAGCAGTTCCTCCAGCTACCCAAAGGAAGACTGCTGCTGGTACTTACATAGATCATCCAGGCTGCGTAACGCTCTTTGAGGTTGTACAGCACAGCGGGTTCGTGGAGGTGGGTCATCATGGCCATGTCCTCGATTTTATCGTACTTGGGAGGGTTCATGGGAAAGACCTGATCATCCTTCACGGTCAGGGTCTGCCAAGGAAAGGAAAGATTTGTATGTTGTATGTCAGCTAAAAGCTCAGTGTGGGAATCAAATGGTGTCCTTCAGCCTTGTTTTTCACTCACTTCTCCACCTTCAGTCTTGACGGTGACCTTCCCTGATTCTTTGCTCTGGATTGTTCCTTTCACAAAGGATTCCTTAGGATGCACCACAAAGACGGATGTCTTGGCATCGAAAGGCTTGTTCTGGGCCTCGATTCTCTCCTTCTCTGACTTTCGGAGGTAAGGGGCTGCCTCCCCAAAGATGGCCATCTCAGAGTCTGACGACATGGCTGCACTTTATGGAGGGCCTTGTCAGTAGAGAACACTGTGGAATAGCAGATACACTAGCCAAATGTGTGAAAAAGTAAGCGCTTGTTAATAGAAGAACAGATGGGAAAAGAAAGATACTGCATTAATACATAATAGTGGTTTTGGAAACAATTGCATATTTTTGTATTGGTGCGATTCAACATTTATAGAAAATGTGAAAATTATATTTTGGGATATCATTTGACTTAGGGTCCACTGTACTGAAACTACGTTTGAAATATTCCATAGTCACTTAGCAGTCAAGTATTTAGGCACTTTTCTGCAGAGGTAAGAGCCTCCAAATTCCTTTCAGCTGCTTAGACGCTCTTTTAATATTCCCTTGAAATTATTATAATGCAGTTTCTTCCCAAGCGATACTAATTCAGAAAGCTCAGAAGGCTTGTACACCACGGTCTGAAGTGGCATACAGACAACTCAAGCATGTTAATGGCTCAGTTTCAGTCTCTAAAACATTTGTATCATTGTATTAATGATACAATTATTTGCTAATTTTAATGAATTTTTCAATCCAGGCATAAATGGCTACAATGCCTGTAAAAAGAAGAGTAATGCTGTTCCAGAACACACTGACATAGCTCCATTTCTGTTTTCTTTTCCTTTTTTAATATTAATGTAATTGTAAGAGAAAACAAAGTTAAACACGAAGATTCAAAGCTCAAGTCAGGCATTTGAAAAAATAATGAATCTTAAAGCCAGGATTAATTTATCTGAAAAATTGTATTTTTAATTTTTTTTCCCCTCAAAATAAACAGTGGGCAGCTTAGGAAAACAAATATTTATTTCTAACCTATATAGACATGGCACCTAATATTTACGCAAGTTTTAATATTGTGTTATATTTGTACTAAAACAAGTGAGTAACATGATAATCCTTTATTTGCCCCTGCAGGAACAGGTGGTGGCTTACAGAAGACTGAAGCTTCCATTTTTTATGAGGTAAAGAACAGGCAGAGCAGTAAGGGGAACAAATGACAATATTGCATTTTACAGAGATGATTGCTCATATTACAGCTCTTTCCACTCTTACTTTTTTAGTGATTTAATGGCAAATTTTGGACAAAATAATATATTAATTCACATTCTCTGAGATAAAATTTTGAAGTTTGCACTTTTTCCTAGTGTGCTTATCCAGCTCTACAGCAAAGATGGAAAGACAGCATGCCTCGCTCCCTGTTAGGTCAGTTAAGCAGAAGTGCAGAATGCGTATTTTCTGGTCTGCCATCAGTGGTCAGAGACTTCAAACATAGCCACTTGAAGATTGGACCATATGATCTTCTGGGGTCCCTTCCAACCTGGGCTGTTCTCTGATTGAAAACCAAACCAACCTTGGGCACCCTACCACCTTCTATTGTGACCACACTGGGCTTGAAAATATGGGGTGAAACAGTGATCATTCACTCAGCTGCACAGAAATCCCACCCAAAAGGATCCTTCTCTGCCCTCTAAGAACTAATAAATCAGGTTCTTACCTCTCGTGACACCAGATGGGTGGCTTGCAGGCTGGCAGCTGGTCAGCACTGTAAAACAGAAATGGCATTTCCCTACTTGCTGCTGCACAGAAATCCGGAGTGAAAATGTGCAGGTGTCTTGAAAGCAGATTTAAAACCTGAGATGAGAAATCAAGTGCCCTCCTGGAAATGAGCACTGAAGGCAGCAGGAATTCAAGCTTTCCGTGGAGACAGGGCACACTTGTCACAGGGACATTTTATACGATCTAGTCTGCAGATGCTACAGATGCCTACTCTTTCTTCGGTCAAAAAATTTTTGGCAAACCTTCTTTGGTAAAGCATTGTCTGGCAAACTGAACTAAGGGCATAATTGTCATTTGACATGACTAGATATAATTAGAAAATCTTGATGTCTTACTGACTATATGAATACATCTATAAACAATCTGACAAGGGTGTTAAGGAGGGAATCTGGACTAGTCAAGGCACTTAGAGAACTTGGATGCGGGACTTATGGATTCTATTGCTGGCTTTCCCACCGACTCACTGTATGACCCAGGGTGGATTGCTTGGTATGTCTGTGCTGCAGCTATCCCAGCTGTACAATGGGGACAACAACATTTATCTTCCCCATGTGATGGTGTGAAGCTTATATGAAATGCCTAAGAGCAATACATTAAGCAGGCCACTAAGAGGGAAGAAAGTATTACTAAAAGAATTTGGCAGTTGTATTGGTAAAAGTCTGAAAGTAGAGGAGTAATCTGGGTCCTTCAGTGTGATAGTGCTGGGGCCTGAGAGTCACAGACATAGCAGGATGACTGGCCAAGACATAAAGATTTGGTCACAGCAATAGGAGACTGGGGTCTTGCTGAACTAATAAGTTGGAGTCTGAGGGAGATATGTGAGGTCACTTCTGATGTATGAAGAAGAGCATACATACACTCATGCACATGTGCCCAGATGTACACTTGAAATTGCAAAAAAGTGGGGGCTTCTCAAAGAAGTACTGTTTTAAGCTATGCATGAATTCATGCTAATGGAGATGTCACAAGGGATGCTGTGATTTCTGCTGTGTAGGTCAGTGCAGGTGAAGAACAGATGGTCCTTTCTTTTCTTGACAATGTTTAATTAATCAGAAAGTACCCATCTTGGCAACTGAGGAAAGGACCTCAGTTCTTTCTTGTATTTTTTTCAAGTCTGACCTGTCAATCTGTACATAATAAAGCAAATAGCTGACATAAAGTTTTGGCCTGTAGAAATCTATGCCATTTGAATGTTCATAAACCTTTTCAACAAGGAGTGGTTACAGGTCATTACAGAATCTATGTATCGACCAAGATTTTTCCATTCCTACAGTAATTTGTGCTCCTGCAGAATTCCAGAACCCTTCCACCACCCCAGAGCTCAACTCACACATCCAGAAGACAACCTAGACTTGCAGTCCTCAGTTTATCCATCAATACACAGCATTTCTTTCCAAATCCTCTAACATAAACAAACCACAGTTTCAGCTAAAGCCTACCTTCCATATGCATACTCCCACTGTCAAATTCACCAACTGAGAAAAAAAGCAAAGACCCCTTCAGCCCGTCCCTACCCACAACTCCCACAAACTGGTATCTTGCACATTTACACATTCATGCAGTTCCTGCAACAAAAGGTATCGACAAGCTGCTTCCTGTATCAGGGCACTAGGGGTGGTAGGCAGTCCTGATACCCAAAGGGGGATTTGCTGGTAGTCCTGGAGAGTAACTCATCGGGAAAGGGCACTGTCACTTGAGCTGCTTTAAATGTTGTCAGATGTAAACAGTCTTCTGGCCATTTGCATTTTGGTTATTGAAAGAGGTCAGGAACACAAGGACAAGGTTATAAAAATGATGCATGGGATCTAAGGTAATATCCAGCACCAGACAGTACCCCGTGCACGAACAGCCTGCTGCAAGAAGGGCTCTGCCATTGAAGCACCCACATTTTGGGTGGCTGGGCCCCAGCCTGGAAGCCAAACCTGTTCTAAACTAAGGATCTGGTGTGCCACGTGGTGTCCAGCAGCCCAGAGGGTTATTATTGGTCCTGGCTGAGGAGGGGACAGGAGAGCCTTGGCAGATCAGAACATGGGATTAAGAAGCCCATGGGAGGAACAGGGATGGCTGAGACCTCTCCTGGGATGTGAGAGCTGGGGCTTTTCTCTCATCAGGCTGGGGAGAGAGCTCTGGTCACCAGTTCCCAGGGAAGCTTTAATATCTGAACTGTAAAGGCAGCATCCTCTGGCAGCACAAGTTAAGTATTAAGTAGAATGATAAGTAGAAGGCTTGCTTCGGAAGGGTCCTTCAAAGATCATGTATTTCAACTCCCCTGCTGTGGGCAAGGACATCTTTCACTAGATTAAGTTGCTCAAAGCCCCATCCAACCTGACCTTGAACACTTCCAGTAGTGGGGTATCTGTAACTTCTCTGGGAAATCTGTTCCAGTGTCTTACTGGAAAACTCATTGTAAAATATTTACTCCATTATAAAATATTTCTTCCTTGTATCTATTTGAAATCTACCCTCTTTCAGTTTAAAACCGTTGCGTCTTGTCCTGTCACTACAGGCACTGATAAAATGTCTTTCTCTGTCTTTCTTATAAGCCCCCTTTAAGTAATGAAACGTTGCAAGAAGGTCTCCCAGAGCCTTCTCATCTCCTGGCTGAACAACCCCAACTCTATCAACCTTTCTTGATAGGACAGCTGCCCCAGCTCTTGGATCATTTTTATGGCCCTCCTCTGGACCTGCTCTTACAGGTCCATGCCTGTCTTGTGCTAGGGACCCCAGAGCTGAAGGGAGTATTCCAGGTGGGGTCTCACAAGAGCAGAGTAGAGGGAGAGAATCACCTTGCTCAACCTGCTGGCCATGCTTCCTTTGGTGCAGCCCAGGATCCAAATGGCTTTCTGGGCTGCAAGAGCACATTGCTGGGTCATGTCCAATTTTTCATCTGCCAGTATCCCTGAGTTCTTTGAGTAGCTGCTGTCGCTTTTCTGAGGGTTCCTGCTCTCAGTGATACATAGCAAGCCTATCTTATGCAGTGCTGTCAGGCTGGGTCAAAGTGCCCTTAGGATGTGCCTGGATCTCCAGGGACTATATGGAGAGTCTAGCTATGTGTGACTTTGGGGACTGAAAAACTTTGAATTTCTAGTAGCCAGTGACAAAGTCAGTCTTCTCAGTAGAGCTTTTAGGGGGTTTTGCTGTTGGTTTGTGCAGGATATGGACCCAGCTGTGTAACAGGCAGAGATGAGGTGTATGGCCAGGCAGCTTTGGGCATGCAGTCCGCTGAGGGAAGGTCTGGTTTAAAATGGAAGAGGCCACTGAGTCGAGGTGTCTCCAGGTGTTGACAGTCACTCAGCAGTGCTTTTCAGGTGGAGAGCTTTGATGTAGCATCAGGTCTGTTCACAAAAGAATTTAGAAACCAAAAGCCTTCTGTGGAACTGGTCCCAATCCCAGGGTAGCTTCCCACATGTGAGTCAGGCTGTAGGAA